TTTCTATGGATGCATCCAATAGCAGCAAGCCTTGATTTGTGTTCCTGTAGATTAACAAATACTGAGAATAGAAGTAATCTTCACTCAGTGGTCCAGTTCAAATCTACTGGAGTAGAGTTGGTTTACTGAGGAAAGTTGCATCAGCGATTTGATCAATCTTAACTTCAAATAAATGGTTCCTTAAACTTGAGAAAGTCAGTGTTTCATTTTCATTTGTGTCATGGTTATACAGTGAGTAGTTTTGCAGGTGAATGTGACCAATAACTAGTTTATCAGCTAATATGCCTGACACCACTTTTGGGATACCTGTAAAGTAAAAACTTACATCGTGTTCGTGATTCCCTTTTCACTATGACGTGAGGGAAGTACACTATGAAGAGGCACTTCGCATTTATGCTGTGCACTGCATTCCTTTTTTGCTATGTGGCATGTTAATTTATATTGGAAAAGTTCCACTGGCTTCTCATTTAGATACAGTATATTTGGTCTCCAGATGTTGCTGGCATCTGGTTTGTTGTTTTCATTGGCAAATACCTTCTAGCAAGTGTTACACTGGGAATGCTTATAACGTGGGTACTCATTTTATAAGCAAGCCCATCTCTGTTTACTTCTGGGTGTGTTTCATGACAGTCCTTATTTTCCTTCTCCTTTTTTTCCTTTTTTTCTTTTTTCCTTTCAGACATCATCCTTTGTTCCCACTGCTGCTGAACTGCAGCTAATCTTTTTCATTCTTGTTAGTCCTCAGGTGTGTGCTGCCATGTTCAGTTGATGGTTGATGAGAATCCCTGCAAGATTGCAAATGAGCAGACGGAAAAGAAATGGAAATTATAGCTGCTTTTTCTTCTTGCTGTCTTGTCAGCTCAGAGCTTCTCAGTGAGGAAGGGTCAGCAGCCCCCAAATGCTGCCTCTGATGCCTTCAGAGTTGTTTTTAAGCACTCTGCTATAAAAACGACTAAAGTAAATGCAAGCTTTAGCATATCTCTTCTCCCTGTCATGCAGCGGTGATGGTGAATGGCAATCAGGCCTTAAGAAGTGGTGATGTTTGTCACTTAATTAGATTATACTGAGTTTTCTGTTCCTCTCTTCTCTCTTGTTTTGTCACTTTCCTCACTCGGCATAGGTGGCTCCACTTCCATTTCAAATTTGCTGAACCTTCAGAGTTGAGCATTAGGTGTTGCAACCCTTGGGCAAAATCATACCTATTCAAAACCCTCCCCTCAAATGCACCAGCTAAGGAACTTGGGAAGACTGGGAAAGGAAATAGTTGGACAAGAAAGGGAAAGTTAGGTAAGGAGGAATTCTTTCCGAGAAGGGTGTATGGGACTCGAGAAAGGCAGGTTGTAAAAATAGTGTCAGAAATGCCCTTAATTTTTTTCTTCCTGTGATATTCAGGTTTCAAATAATCAAATAATCAGCCAGAGCTAGCAGTTATTCTTGGCTATCAGTCTTAGTGGAGAGAATGCTGACTCAAGGTTTACCCGGATACAACAGTCTGTATTCTCCTTGCTTTTCTCAACACTTGCTGTATGAATATGTTGAAGTATATTTGTATATCTTTTTATCTTTCTGCGGCTTTCATATTTCAAAAACCCCCAAACTGTTCCTGTTCTCTGTAGGAAAGGGACATTTTTGCTTCTCTCAGCAAAACCGATATCATGATACATTAAAAATGATGTTCAACTGAAATGGAATGCAGTAAGTTGCCAAGCAGTATTAAAGAAAACACCCCAATAAAGCAAACATTTATATTTTATGTGAGTTCCAATGTAATGTACTTATTGTGTAGTTCTTAGGAAATAAAGGATATAATTTAATTTAGACATACTGTTTGTTCCTTCTGATGTCATTTTCTGCTGATTTGCATATTCAGTTTTAGGAATTAGGAAATGCCCTTTTGACTCCTCTGTGTTGAGCAAGTGATTTTTTTTTTTTTTTTTTTTCCTATCACCTCTTCAAGGTATAATAGAGCATAAGTGCAAGTATCTGTCTTGTGTTTATATTAACCCAAAGTCAAACAAGCTACCTAATACGCTGAGCTGAAAGTCCTCTGGGCTCTGTCAGGTCGCTTCCCCTGGCAGATGGGTTCTGTCCCTTTTTCTGAATCTAGGAAACTGTTTCCTCCTCTTTTCTTGCATGATCCAGGAGACTGTCCTTCTGAAGCAACCGTCAGCCAGCAGAGTTGGCATGAGGCTAGCCTGTAGGAACTACTCCATCTGGCCTGTTGTACAGTCTGCTGTCATGAAGTGGAGTCCCTTCAACATTAGGCACTTGCAGAGTTGGATTAAATCTGGACTGCAGTGAGCAGTGATCTCATAGGCAGACCAGTTGACTGCTGTCAGACTAAGGCAGTTAAATGGTAAACTTTCCAAAGCAATAATTTTCGTTTCAAGAAAATCTTTTTTCTTTTTCTGTCACGGGAAGGTGTTTTAAATGGGCTGTTGAAACAATCTCACCATTGAGGGGGTAGAAATGCTCACCTGGGGGTTTGGTGAGGTGGAATTTTTTTGTTTTACTGATTTAAAATAAAGATAAGAATATCAATTACCAGATGCATTCACCATCCAAAACTAACCACTGAATGGCATATGCAGATGGTAATCTGTGAAGACAGGTGGTGTCTGACACTTGCATTTCTGTTTGCAGCTGAGGCAGCGATGGTTTTGCAGCAAAGGATGGGGGAGAACATTAAAGTGGTCTGAAGGAATAGGTGCTTGGTCTGGGAAAATAAAAGTGGTGGAAAAATACCCGGGTGATACTTAGGCAAGGAGGGAAAAGACAGGAAAGAGGAGGAAAAAACCGCCTAAAAAACCAGAGGAGTATACTTCTCTGTATCTGTCAAACTATCTAGTATGTGCTCTCCTTTCCACACCAGTGAATCCTGTCTCATCACACTGAAAATGTGATTGCCCTATAAATAAAACTTTTTATTTTTAAATGTAAGCACTGCATGAAGTTATTAATCTCTTGTAAATGCTTGTGGCAGCTTAGCATTAGAGAGAGTACTTTCGGGGATTTTTTTTGCATACAAATTAATCTGTCAGGCTGTCACATTTAAGACTCTTGACAATTCACATTTGACTGATACCACAAATTATGAAGGCCTGGTCTTATAGCTGAGTTAAGTCCAAGTAATATTTTTGTTTTTGAGAGCAGTATTGTGTTCATTTCAGTCCAGTTTTTGTCCAGCCCTGAGAGCTGTTTTGGTGAAGACCTGGAATAACTCTTGACCAATTAAAGTTCCAAACCAAGATTTACAGGCTGCTGAAGCCATTGTATCTGACATGGTCAGGAAAATGTACAGTGACATGTAAACAACACAAATACAGGATTGGGGTGGATGAGAAGGCATTGTGTACAATTCCAGAAGTAGTTTGTAAGTTTTCTGCCTGTGGATACCAGTCAGAACAATTCTTTGACCTGCTTGGCAGTTCCCTAAGAGTTTCTTGTCATCACTGGCTTTCACACTGTGCATTTCTTTTTTTCCAAGTGTTTCCCAGATGGATGTGCAGACTTTAGTTGGCGCTCCTCCAACCCTTCCCTTACCTGCTGCTGCATGTATGTTGCTTTGTTCTGTCCGCTTCCTTAGCATTGACATCTTTCAGCTTTCTTTCTGATTACTTCTCTGTTACAACCGTAGTTATATACGTAAGGTGTACTTTATGAAACTGATCTGAAGCACACCTCTTCCCCCCCACCTTGTTTTATTTGGTTATGACCTGATCGGAAAAAGTGATTCCATCTGACATGCCACGGACTGCAGTATGGGCACAGTACTTTTGGATGGTGAATTTAATTAAAATTTACTGGGAATTTGCCGTCAGGATTGTGCATAGCTTGTTATCTCATGGGAGAAATGCTGAGTGACAGTTGGGATTTTCCTTTGCTTTCTTGCTTTCCGCATTCCAGGTTTGTTTGGGAGGAGAAGATCATAGAACCATTGGAATTACTTTAATCACAGTGTGGCATTGACCCTGGTAATGGTATTTGTTTGTTGCAGCTGCAGGATACAAGGAGCAAAAATACAAATATTTGAGTCCCCTGGAGCCTTAGTTGCAGTGTAGTTAAACAGTCAGTTCTAGTCTTCAGTTGGTTTGACTTTATTCTTTTTTTCCTACAAATTTCTGCAAAAACATACTTCGTCCTTCCTGAACTGTGGCAATTTTTAATACCAATGCACGTTTTCTTTGGCTATGAAGAGATGTCCCAGGCAATGTGATGTTTTGGGATTATTTTAGTAATCTAGGAGAAAACAGGTTGTAGACAATGCTGTGTGGTTTGGTCTAGTTACTCATTTCGATTAATACTCTACTCCTTGGTAGTACTTAACTGACAGCTTCAGGAAAAGAAACCTTACAGCAATTACACAGTTTCCTCTTTTGAAAATGTCGCTTTAACCTCCTCAGTAAGAAGAGCGTAGATTACTTATTTTTCTTCTAAAAGCATGAAGGTTTACATATTTCAGGTTTATTTCCCCCAGACTCCCCTTCTTAAACCAGCTTTCACTTTGTTTCTATTAGGAAGAAGGCTAATACAAACATGAGGTGTCTGTGTCCACATCCTTGCTCTGCCATCACTTTTGGATTCATTTTGCCTCACTTCAACCAGATTTGACTGAGAATCAGAAATGTCAGTAGTTGTTGCATTTGCATGGGTTTTTAAAAAAAAAAAATAAAAATGAATGAGGCAGAAGAGGAGGGCCTGAAGAAATAAATCTTCAGGGGAAAAACCAAACCATTGTCCTTTCCAGTGCTTGAAGGAAAGCTAACTCTGTCCTATAGGACGTCCAGTCCTCTTTGAGTAGTAGACTGAACCACTGCCTTGTGACAAACCATTCCATGGACTTTCTGAACATTTTGTGAAGAGTAATATTGATCTGGGAATAGAAAACATCACATGGATTTCCACTGCTTGTAGTTGTTAATATTCTCAAAGGGGTGGGGAAAGGGTGAACCAAGGAGGTTGAATATCATTTTGCGGAACTAAGTGAATTGTACTTAAAGTAAAAGCAGCTGGAATAGAGAGATATGATGTATGTTGCTGCTGAATACAGAGGAGAGAATTTGTCTTACTGTAAAATACTGATTACCAAGTGGATTTCATTTTCAGTTCTGTCATTGTTTTTTGTTTTAGGTCCTGTTTAATATGATTGTGGAAGTGCCTCGTTGGACAAATGCAAAAATGGAGGTAATTAAGAAAAATACCTTGATTATATAGGTATCTGTGAAAGTTACAACAATGCAGTGGCTTCCAATAGTTGGAGTTTAATCAGCGTGTGGATTACTCTTTACACATAAAATTGTTTCTGTTTAAAAAATTAATTTGAAGTTGCGCATACAGACACTTCCCTTGCAATTATAAAGTGTTGAGGTTCTAATTTTCTTTCCCTCCTGCAGGTGAGTACTTGATATTCTTGACAGCCCTGTGACTGCAGAGTGCAGCACACCTGCAACAGAGTCTGGCTTGCAGGGCATTGTCCAACATTTAGTCGTACTCTTGCTTGCTCATACAGCATTACACTTGGAGGACTTAATTCCTCTCATTTCCACTGTAGAGTGTGCTAGGCCCAATCCTGACAAATGGAGTTGCAAATGAAAAAGCATTTCCTTGTGACAAAAAAATAGTTGGGGACCTCACTGACTGAAAGTATCTAGTGCTGGAGGGAGATACTTTAAAAGTAGAGCCCAGTAGGTTGTTCCTCTGCAGTTACAATATAGAAGCTGAGTAACGTTTTGCCTGTAGTGTTTGTGAGTGTTTGTGAAACAACAGATTTACCAAGATATGTCCCATCTTCCTGAATGTTTGTATTAATTTTAGGGATGCTTCCTGGATGCTTTTAAGGAAGTTTGTGGTTGAGCTGTTGATTATTTTGATTATTAAAAATAACACCAAAGAAGCTCCCCAGCATATTATTTCAGAATTCTGTTTTCTCCTTTCTCTCTTGCTGGAAAATCATTTGAACTGTGTTTACCACCACAGTTGCTACTCTGCAAGCAGGGTTACCTTGGATATTTACCTTGTATTTTAAGATGATGATTTATTGAGGAAGCTGAGTTCTCTTTTGCAGAGCTTCCCTTTGACAATGCTATTTGAACTCTGCATAAAGGTCAGGTTGCTGTCCCTCCCCTTCTCGTGGCATGTTCTGTCAAGGGTAGAAAAGTTTACTGTTCTGTTAGGTTCAGAAATCAGTGGGTTTAGACATTTCTGGCTTGATAGAGGAGACCAGATGTAGTTCTCTAATATATAACTTTTAATATACTTGAAATTTCCTGCATTAATTGTGAAAGCAGTCCTGCTGTCCAGACTGTGGTAAGGTGCTAATACTAGGTCTTGTCTGCATCTCGGTGCTGAGATTCCCTCACACGGAATGGAGACTGTAGAAAATTAAACCTTACCTTAGGGCGAATGTTTCCCACTGTTACATCCCCAGTGCCAGATCTCCTGCTCATGAGTTTGTTGTATTTCTGTTCTTCTTCCCTTGATTTTACTGAAGGTGGTTTTCACGACACTTTTGTCTGCTGTTGTCAGTTACTCCTCTTTGTCCCGGTTTACATCAAGAAAAAGCATTGCTGAGCTCCACTTCTGTCAAAGTCCCAGGTGGCATATTCGAGGTCTTCACTATTAAGTTATGACCAGAAGCAGGTAGAATCAAGTGTGAAAACAGAAATGTATGAACCTTGATCTCAGCTCTTGGGGAAGGTTTACTTGTGGAATAAGTGCATGCTATTGACAGCTTGGTGTAGTTCAGAAAGGTGGAATTCCTTTGGGATGGTTTTGGTGGTGGTGCTTTAGGTAAATTACAAGGATGTTGTAAAATGAATGTGGACTAAGGGCTATGTGCTTATGCACGCAAACTACGTACCCTCTGAGCTTGTAACAACTGTGATGCCTTTCAGATGAGTGTTTGTAAGCAAGAACCAAGCTAACATGGGTTGGGTTGCGGTGTGGAGTGTCAAAAAGATGGTTGCAGTGAATTGGCTGATGCATGGTAGGTAACTCATATGGCAGAGGGTTTGTATTTGAGGTTTTGGGGAGGATGATGACAATAATAAACAGTTCAGTGTTAATTAGTTCAGTCCTTCTGTGAGTGCTTCTTTGGCAACAAGAATGCCGGCTTCTAATGCTAGCTTAACTTGTTCCAAATCTGCATTAAGTTGGCATTTGGTGACTATGCAGGACTTGTGCTTACTAAAAAGCATTTGTATGCTGAGAGGTGATGAAGAGAAGGGGTACATGCAATGGGAGAGCAAGAAACAGAGGGTGAGAAGAAGATGAAACATCTCCCCTGTCGCTGTCAAAGCCCCTGTTGTCAGAAGAACTTGTGCCACCATTCGCCTGTGTGTTGAACCTGTACTATAAAGTGCAACAGCCTCTAGCTTAAGTTCCTTTCAGTATTTACGGTTGACCGTGATAGTCTCCTTATAAATTTATGACTTTCTCTTCTAGATTCATTTTTTTCCTTGCATACTTCACAACGTTATTTAAAACCTTAATAAGCTGCTTTTTGAACGTGACCCTTGAGATTTAGAGTGAGGCCATCACACTTTTAATACTTCTCAAACCACAAGCACATGCTCCCAGATGGATCTTTCTAACTGGTTGGGTACAGAATGAATTGCTTTCCACTTTACCATTCTCCCTTTCTCTCTCTTTTTTCACGATCTGCTTAGATTGCCACTGAGGAGCCGTTGAATCCCATTAAACAAGATATAAAGAAAGGCAAGCTTCGATATGTGGCAAATATCTTTCCTCACAAGGGTTATATATGGAATTATGGTGCCCTCCCACAGGTAACATTTTTGTTATAATGGTGAAAGTTTTCTGTCTTCTGTGTAAATTGCCTTGTAAATCTTGGGTACTGCCTGAATGCAAATCAGTTGCAAGAGGGATGTTTCTCTTTGATACATTTGTAAATTAGGATTTTTTTATGTTGAGCTTTATTGCATCTATAAATTTTGATCAGAATTTGGGTTTGGGTGTAAATATGTGCTGTGTTTCAGGAAGGAGTTAAATGGTCAAGAAATCTCAAATCTTTAGTCTGTGTCTGTACTGTAGTGACAGAATTAAACTGTCATGGTCTGTCATTTAAGAATACTTTGTCAAGTAGCCCTTTTCTGCTTAAGCAAGGCATTTTTTTAAAAACTAATTTAGGATTTTCATGTATTGCAGCATAAATTTTAATTGCTATTTCTTAATATCTTTAACAAAGAGGAACACAAGGGCTGTTCTTTTTCAGATTAAACCTCAACTGCCTTAGTTAACTTTTCTCTGAACTGTGAGACTTTACTGATCATGACATATTCAAAATTTTGAGCCTTGAAAAAGCCCGACAAATGGCTGAAATTTTGAGCGTAATGAAAAGTTTCAAACTTTTTTCATTTCTGTGAATAACACATTGGACTTAAATTATTACTAAAGAACATGATGGAGCTAGAAAAGAGTAATTTATTTTCTTTATGCTTAACTGCATAAGCAATGAAAGTTTATTCCTGGAAATCTGCTTATGTGTTTGGTCCCCGAAGAGGAGATACCAGGCAGATACTGGAATATAACAATGAAGTTCTTACCCAGTGAGCAGTCTCAGTAGACAAAGTTTCCAAGTAGGTATAGTTGGGAACCAGCAATTCCATTTAATGTTTTGAAATTCATGTGTGCCTTAGTACAAAGTCAAAATGAAACATTTGAATGTTTTCCTGCACAAAGTGCATGATTTTGGACTGATGACGCTTTCCCCAGGAGAAATGTTCAGCTTCCCTTGTTACCTTGTGAGTCAGAGAGGGCTGGAGATAACTGTCATTTTTATTTTCTATAATAACTTTAAAATACCAGTTGGATCGTTACACCTCCAATTGTTGAAGTCTAGATGATACTCCAGATTCCTACTAGCATCTGTAACATATAAAATCCAGTTCAGCGTCTCTGTTGTCACAAGAGGACTTTTCATCAGTATCAGCAGGTGCCGGAAGTTCAACCCTAGTATGTGGTGTAAAGAGATGTGTTTGTGGCTGCTGTTTTATGCTGCGGAACAGGGAGTTAAAAAATGATGGTAGGACTATCACTATTGCAGGAGTTGCTGTACTGTCCAGAGAACAATACCGTTCCTAGAAAGCTTTCCTTCTAACCTACAAGTGGAGGCATGCAGCTGGGCAGGAGAATAGTTACTGGTATAACACAGCCTTAAATAAAAAGCACTTGCTAAAAAGCATATTGCAAAAATAAGTTTTAAGTTTAAAATTCTCTCTTAACTCCACTTCAGCATTTTTTTGGTAATGATTCTGTTACATAAACACCTGAGCATTTGCTTTTTACCGTTTTGCCTTTTAGTATCGGTCAAGTTCTCAAGAACACATTTGAGGTGGAGGTTTTACCACAGACAGCAGGAGCTAACAGTATAGCTGCCTGGAAAAAAAAAATTCCAACACCCTTTCAACAAAATTTCATTGGACTCAAAATTCTTACCAGGAAAACTTCTCAACTTTAGAATGAGTTACTCATTGCTAGCCAGTAAGAGACAAAGCAAGTACTGGTCTAGTAATTCAGTTAGTATAACTTGGCTCTGATTCCTTGCTTGTATGGAGCTCAGAGTAGGGGTTTGAACTTGCCTGCTGGAGCAGCTTCTTTGGTCTTAAGCTGTTGGCTGTTCTTGGGAATGTACACATCTCAAAATACTCAGAAATATTTTATATCTAAATCTAAAAAAAATAAAAAGCTAATTGGGTGCTGACAAATCCATGTACAGGAGCTTGGTTAGCTCAGTGTCTAGATGTTTTTGAAAGCAACTTACTATATTGCCATGGTATTTAAAGAGTATAATAAGAATGTAATTGTAGGATGTCCTAGCTTAATCCTACAACCACTATATTCAGGGTCCTCTGATGCCTTAATCGCCTCAATTTGATAAAGTGTGTTTGTTGAGTCATGGATGCAGTTAATATTTTTGTTCCTGTGTCCCCAGTAATCCTCATGTTACTTGTCCTGAGTGTGAGTTACTCAACATCAGTCCATTGGCCGTTTCTTTGTTTGTTTTTTCTTTTCCCATTGAGCAAGTGTGTTCTCAGAAAGCTGATGTTTTTACTGGTGTTTTTATTAATCTTAGTAATTTAGTGGTTAGACGGATTGTAATTGCAGGTCACCTGGTAACTGGTAATTCTCTTCCCTTTGACAGACCTGGGAAGATCCAAACCATACAGATGACAATACAGGATGTTGTGGAGATAACGATCCCATTGATGTTTGTGAAATAGGTTCAAAGGTTTGTCTTTATCAGGATTAATTTAATTTATCAAGGTTAATTTAATAATTTGGTAACAACTTTTGGAATAGAAGGGTAGATGGAAAACTATAAGAGATGGTAATAAGTCTCAGGGGATGACAAAAGTATGAATAGAAGATCTGAGGAGGGAATGGGTAAGGAAATGGTGGATTTTTAAAAAGGAGGATTTGGTAAGGTTTGTGTACTGAATAAAAGGGATACACTGGATAAAAGGGATAAGAGAACACTGCCCTTAAGTTCTGTGGCTGGACAGTGAGTTTTGAGTGAAGGAGGAGGGGGTTAAGATTTTCGGGGGAGGAAAAGATTTCTGTCTTGTTCCCCTCTTAGCAGTACTGGAGCTAGGAATAGCTTTCTGAAAGATGAGGAACTATGGCGGCGTCATGCACATAAAATTACAAGGTCAGATGCACAAAGGAAGCAGGTTTCAGTTTTCTCATGGGTGCAAACAGAAGTAGATCCCTCTCCTCTAGAGGACAAGACAGGAACCTGTTGCAGTGTTGCAGAGTTACGAAATATGGAGTGGGTGGATGAAAAAGGTGCAGCAAATGCCATTAGTAGGTATAGGGGAAAGGTTTAGCTTTATTGTATCAAAGATGGGGTTATGAAATGGATGAGTTTGGAAGAGAGATTTCTTGGGATATTTTAGGTAAGGGGAAACGTAATTGGTGACCTTAGCAAAGGTGGCTTTATTTGAGGAAAGGAACCTAAAGCTGAATTTCAAGGGATCCAGAAAGAGTTATAAAGGGAGTATTAGCTGGTAGGGAGAAAGTTCCCAAGAAAACGCAGAAAAGAGTTACGCTGATATTTTTTGGGAAGGGCTGTGTGTTTATGTGTGTATATTGGAGTCTAGAGGAAGGAACAGCGAGAGAGAGGTTAAGACCAAGAGTTGAGAAAACAGAGTCAAGAGGCAGGAAGGATTTAAAAAATGAGCATGAGATACTTTTGACTTGTAGTTTCGCGTAAAGGTCAAGAAGGTGTTGGGGAAGTACAGTAGAGGAAAAGAAAAAAAATTCTAGCTTGTGTTGTCTACTTAAATAAATGCGGACTGGAGAATTGAGGGTTGAAGAATAGCAATGGTGGGAGAAATCTAGTAATCTTAAATAGATGTATCAGTGTTACAGATGTAATCTGTATTACGGCTTTATCTTGCAGTTCTGTCAGCTGCTGGTCAAAAATGTACTAAAACTATTTTGTTTGTAAGGTAAACGAGAAATTCTACCTAGTGTTTTCCAAATCTTTGCAAGATTATGTTCTGTTTCAGATTCGTTCTTCTGGTGAGGTGGTTCAGGTGAAGGTCTTGGGTGTTTTAGCTCTTGTTGATGAAGGAGAGACAGATTGGAAGATAATTGCTATCAGTGTGGATGACCCAGAAGCTCAGAAAATCCACGGCAAGTATTTTTGTCTTTCTTAATGCAAGTTATGTTAGCAAATTGCACAGTAGAATGGTGCCTGAGTTTAGGCCACCCAGAATAACAAGAAGCTGAAAGGCAAGACTTTTCTTTTTTCTTTTTTCTTTTTTTTTTTTTTTAAATCAGGTTTTTCCTTTAAGGAGGGCATATGTGCTTTCACACAAAGCTCTTGAAAAGGTTCACTTGGATTTTCAAGAGGACTTGTCATGCAGAAAGTCTTTTGACTTCTGAAACACAACTGCCTTAGAAAGTGACCTCTTAAAATTACAGGCTTATCTCCTGTGTAATAGTGCATATTTACCCACTGAGATTATGTAGCACACCGCTGTTTTCCATGTTGAAAGTGTTTGTTCTTTTTATATTTGCAGGCGTTGTGTTGCATTCTGAAAAGGGCTGTATATTACCAATGTTTAGTCACTTGTAACTGGGTTACTTCCAGGGTTTGTTCCCTAGTATGAATGATTAGGTTTCACCTTTTAGCTTGAAAATTTGCAAAGTAAACTGCCAATGCAGCTCACCCTGGTATCAGCCTTGATGATGACTAATTGTGCAGGGGGAAATATCCTGTCCAGACATGTCCTCCTAGTGACCATGCTCCCGGTATCCAAACGGAATTCAAGTGCTAAAATGTGTCTATGAATGGCACATGAAGTGTAATTCTGCCTGCAGGACTGTTCATTAAGAAGACGATACAGATGTGTTAAAACTGCAGGGAGTTAGGTTTTTACAGCACAGGTAAAGAGCAGCTTTTCTCTGGATGAATGGAGGTTCACTTCCTCAAATGCAATGTTACTGGGAATCATGAGAATTAAGCGCAGAGATTTGTGTAAAAGTTAGTGATTGTTATGAGACCCAAACCCATATATACCATCAAGTATGCACGCTTGGAACCTGCTCTTTGTTGGTAGGGAGCACCAAGGCCCAGAATGGCCTTTCTGTAGGAATAGGGCTATCCAGTGGCTTCTTAAGGAATTATGTTTCCTGGCCGTTGAGGCTTTTTCCTGGTTTCTGAATGTAAAGTAAGTATATCACTGGACTGGCCCTTCATTCTCAGTTTTCTTGCAGGTTGTTTTCACGTGGAGAATACTTGGCTTGTGGGGAAAGAAGGGGAGAAGAGGAAATGAGGAAAAGGAAACTCTTGGGTTGATGCTGATTAAAATAATGGGCAGATGAATTACTACATAGTGTTTATGACTCTTTAACTGCTTTGACAGTTAGAGATTAAGAAGTTCAGCTTAAGGAAATAGTAAGTAATAGTTTGCTGTTAATGTTAGTATCAATTTAAACCTCTATAATGTGCAGCAACGCATGATGTGTCAGTAGTTAAAAGACAAGTAATTAGATTTTATTTCTATACATTGTTCTGTTTAACTCTTACCTTTTTTCCTTAAAAATTTCTGAGAGAGTTTAATCAGAAGAGTGGGTGAGAGAATTTAAAAGGAGTCCCCTAAGTAGGGGTAAAACCGGCAAAGTTTATGCCACTGGGTTAAGTAGCTCTAATTGAAAGCTCTCTGTTTTGTTTTTGTTTTTTTTTTTTCAGGTAATGACTGATTTGTGTCAGCTGTCTTACAGTTTTAGTTTGTTTGGGAGAGGAGTAAGAGTTTTAGTCTTGTTTAATAAATAAAAAAAACCAAAGCACACAACCAAAATGAGCAAACTATTGCTTGTAGTTGATTCCTGTGTGATCCTTTCTTATCAGAGAATAGATGCAAAACTTCAAGAGTTTAACTCCTTCTGTCTGAGTTTCAGAGAAGTGCAGAAATATTTATCCAGTTTAATATGGTTTCCCTTTGGGATTGGAGTTGCAGTCCAGGATTTACAAAAGGAAAGAAGAAGGAGGGGAAAAAAAAAAAGCCCCCATCTGCTTTCACAAAACATGACTAGCTTGCAGTGTTTAACAGCAATCCTTCAGTCTGAAAACAAACAAATCTGTTGGAGTAGGCAGTACAATATGTCCTTTTATACTTGTTTTCCCCCCTTCCCAAAGATGTTAATTATTTCAGTACAAAGGGGATAGCAGCTACAGATAAAACTGGTATCTCCCTCAATAATTGACGTGCTGCTGTGTTACCGTGGTGGCCTCCTGGGGGAAAATGAGGCTAAGCGTTGCCTTCTAAGTCTGTCCAGTCATTTTTGTATCATTTGCTAAACATTTCAAATTGGACTGAGAATCATCACATTTGCTTTCAGCTCAGTATGTGCACAGCCCCCAGTGAACATTTGGAAAAGATAATTCTGAGACACCAGAGTGGTGATTACTTGCAAACCCCATCCTGAGCCCGCGCAGTGTGTTAACTCCTCTTGCTGCTTTAAGCACACCCCAGGTACTCTGTGTATTCTCCTTCTGGGATTGTGATCATTCTCGTAAGTGCAATTGATTTTTCTGAGACTTCACAGAACTTAAAACTGAGCAGTCCCAACTTCTGAGCAGTCCTCATTGTTTATTCATAGCAGTCCACTGTACTGTGTCCTGCAGGCATTTATTGATAAATACTGGTTTAAATTGGAAACCCTGCCTAGAACTTTTCTTTCACGCCTAACAATGAGAAACTCTAGTTTATAGTGACAAGACCCAGGAATGAGAAGCAGTGCTTAGCACCTATTCAAGTGGGAACTCTGTTGTCAGTGGGAAGAGCAGAGACTTAGTGTGGGACTGTACTTTGGAAGGTAATCTGTTTGAAGTTATCGCACTTAATACTGGTGAGCATAGGAACGATCTCACTCCAGATACAAGTTGTATGTCAGATGCAGGTATCTGTATGGGAGAGTTTCTTTTGGACTAAAACTGGACATTCAGATTTATCTATTTCAATAAGATCTGTCTTTGTGGCTACCTGAAAACTACTGTGTTGTCTTTTGCTCAGGCAGTTACTAGGCAGATGGCCATTAGCGGACCAGCAAAGCAACTTCAGACCAAGCAGGTGTGGGAATGAGCCTAAAAGCTCCCTGCACACCAAAACACTACATCTTGGTGGTGTAATAGGCCTGGCTGCATTTTTTTTTGGGGGGGAGGGAGGGGGGTTGTTGCTTTTTGTTTGATTGGTTTTTGTGAAATACTAGCCAGGAGAAGCAGCAGATTCTTGGACTTTCTTGTCTGCTTATCTCATAATTTGGATTGAATTTAATATATTGGAATTCACATACATATCTGGTGTCCTTTATAAGGTTGGGCTTGGAAAGGAAGAGCAATATTTTTGTGCTCTAATTTGGCCTAAATGTATATGGCATCTTCATGTTGGACAAGAGGTTTTGAAAATCACTGGCAGTTGAAGCAGGAAGTGTGTTTGAAGCAGCTTATGAAAAGTCTGGCTCTCAAAAGGTCATCTTACCCTCCCTGAGTAAATTGGACAAATCTTGTATGATGGATGGCATTTTGGAGGTGATTTACTGGCTTGGAATCTTAGCAGCCTTTTTTTGCTATTGCTCACTGGAAGGATGCCTGGATATATTCAACAGCAGTTGGTGATGTCTACCATCTTTGTTGCGCTACCATTTGCTGGTACTGGTATAGTTAACTGGGCTATGTTGCCATGCTGCTTTTCCACTGTGCAACTCGAGATTAGCTTTTTGAGTTAAGTGATCAAACCCTAAATGGCAAAACCAAAGTGTATTGCATACTTTGTACCATATATTGGTATAGACCCTTGCCTGTGAGTGTATTTATATGCAGAGCAGCAGCAGAGGCCCTGAAAACCTTTGTTGTGGATTTGTGTAAGCATTCAATATAAAGAAATTAATTATCTGTACTGAGGCTCCCCTCCTACCCCCTCACACCATGCTGCACAAAATACACTAAATGCCTTTATATGGAATGTAGCTGCTGCTTCCTGTAAATGTTTATAAGATGTTATTAAAAACATATGTCCTCTCTTCCCACAGACCTTGTTTAGAAAGCTTGCTGCAAGCATGTTGTTTTAGCTTTGCTTGCAAGAAGCAGCATCTGTTGTACTAAAAATGGTAGTTTTGTACAAATGCTTTTGTTGTTCTCTTTTGTAAAGCCAGATAGAATTGGGATCGGCGTTTGCATTGGCTTGCTCCCTTGACAGAGAGCTAGCAGCAGTTGTTTGTGCCAACCTCTGGAGATTTTCCTTATTGAGACTAAACTGCAACCCTTAATGTGATTAGCCATCTTGTTTTAACCCCTGGTGTTTAACTCTGGTGCCCAGAAAAATGGGACCTGTGGCCGTATGTAGAGAATATACAGAAATTGCCGCCTAGAGCCCGGTGTGTATGTGCTGATCATGTACCTGCAGGAGCCTGACCTTTCTGCTCCGTCCCTCTGAGCAGGGCCTGCTTGCAGAGCTGAAACCGCATGAAGCCAGGTACATGCTTGCTCCACCTGTGCTGGCTCAGACCCTTTTCACATCAGTGTGAGTACACTGCTCTAAGGGAAGGTTAGCAGTCAGGGTCAGAAAGAAGTGACTAACGGTGTCTCTTGCGGAAAAGACATCTAACACTATTTTTTGGTTTTGATCATGATACGCAGCTAGCTTCTATAGATACCAGTGCAGTAAATCACTGTACTGCTTATCGTGATCTTTCTTTTACCTTTCTTTGCTTACTCTTTTCTGAGTATATTTTTCTCCTTCTGCCCCTGATGTCCCAAAGAAGCTGTCTGGATTTCAAAGTGGAGGACAAGCTTTTCTATGGCACCTTGTAATGAACTGAAGAGGTAGCTGCTGTTTTCTGTATGTTTTGTGCTATGTGCTGACTCAGCAGCAGCAGAATCGTGTTTTTTCCCTTTTTTTTTTTGGTTGTACTGTTGCACTTTTTCCTACTGTTTGCCACCAACTCCCATAATAAAGAGTAGTGAAGTGTCCTTCATAATAAAGAATAGTGAAGTGACGCATGGGGATGAAGGAGAATAACTTGCAAGGAACCAAGGAAATAAAAGCAACCACCCTTTTAATTCCTCAAAACCAGAATATACAGTACTGTAGCGGCCATATAGTGCTGTAGCCTGGTGCTGTGCAGTCATTTCACCGAGGCAAGGTATTTTCCAGTAGAGAGAGGGAAATTCAGAGAGGTGATGCTGTCCCTGAAGATGGTCATCCCTATCTTAAGAAGGTAATGAAAGCCTGCCCCAAAGCCTATTCCAATGTTTGGGTCCTTTAAAGAAATATAAACTAGGCCTATAAATAAAGAACAGCAGATGGGGAAGGGCCAAAATGTTGGTTAGTAGACAATAAAGCACTTTTGATGGACAGTTTTTATGGTAATATGAGGCAAATAACCAAGTAGGAGGAATGGAGAAGCAGCAATAGGAGAGAAGTTTGTTGAAACAGGAACCAGGAAAAAAGGAGCAGCAGTCTGAGAAAGTATACTTAAATTTAAGTAGTGTTTGGAGATGGAGACCTGGAGTTCGACCACTGTTGGGAGCCATGGAAATTGCTGCAGCAGCCTAGTTTGCTTTACAGACTTGAGATACTGTTTCTTCAACAAGTACAAGAAATTGTGAGTTCAAACCTCACAAGAGGAGAAGATGACAAGGACTCAAGATGGGAGGAGGGATGTACTCTTGCTTGGAGAGAACAGGATGATACGCTGGAGCCCTGAAACCCATTTCAATTGAAGCTGCAGTTTTATTAGTGCCCAAATGAAACATCCTGCCTCCAACCAAATCTCACCCTTTTCAAAATCATTACTTCTCGGTTGGTGTCACCCACCCACCGCAGTGCAGGGCTTCTTGTACTCTTAAACATGTATTGCAGCTAGAAGACCTGCCTGTAGCACAGCCTTACGTGCCCTTGCTTTTTTCTGGGCTTCTGCCAATGAAACTCCTAATCTTCTACAGGCGGATGGCCAGCAGCCAAGTTCAAAATGTGTTTTACTCCGAGTCCATAAACACGTAGCCCTATGAAGTGCATGCAGAAGCAAAAATTTACATAGGATTTTTCAAAGTTTTATGTTTTATTCTTTGAGTAGTGTGTGATCCAGTGGAATTTGGAAGTGGCATCTATCAGATACTGATGAATGCTCAGCATATCTTCTCATGTAGGTTTGGTCTCACAGTTCAGTCCACATAATCTCTCTTGGTGGTCTATAGAGAATTGAATGGTCTTTAGCACAAGACTTTTTCCCTTCTATTACTGTTCTTTTTTTTTTTTTTTAAATACTTGAATGTCATTGTTCACGTTCACAGGCTAGGTTTTAAAAAGACATTTAGGCACTTAAAGATGGAAAGCACATGACTAGGTGTCAATCCCGAGGACTAAACAACTCTGAAAATCGGTTTTATGGGACTGGATAGACAGAATAGTATCCATCAGGAATTACTGCCAGCCAGGAGATGTCAGTGAGTGAGGTATATCTATGGGAGAAGAGAATGAATTGGCCAAGCAGTATGGAGAGGGAGCAAGAGAGAGAGGGTGAGGCATCAGGGAATCAAAGGGAGAAGTGAGCAAGTGACTGGCAAAACACTAGAGAAGGAGAATAATGCCACGGAAGGTGGCCTGGACAGAGTGAGGTTATGAAGTAGCTGGAAGTCTGCATGCACTGCACAGCAGTAAAAAGTCAGCTCCCATTTCCATCAGAAGTGACTGTAGGAATGAAATAGATGGAAAGAGGATTACACTAGCTACAAAAGGTACTTGTCTTCCAGAAAGGACAAAATCCTTTATTGTAGCAAAATTAATTAAAATTGTATTGAAGGCTTTTCCATGTAAACATGTTGCTGGAGAGTTAATTTGCCAGGCGGCTGATAGGACCACCTCATTGCAAGTGACAGGAGCAGTGGTAGTCTCACAGGACAACCTGGTAAAATTTGATGTGCACAGCAGAAGAAAACATTTAAGATCATGAACTGCCTCTTTACTATAGCCGTATAGTCCTCGAGCAGAATTACTATGTGACTGTTTAATCTCTCTATACCCACTGGGCAATGTTCACCTATGCCTCCTAAGGGTGTCCTGCAAATGGCATGTGTTCCGCTTTGTGTCCTGTTCCATTTTTGCATGGTAGGATTACAGAGGTAAAGGCAGAATTGGCTTATCACTGCAAGTATGCAGATATCGCAGAATTATCAGCAGAGTTAGTGTTTAGTGCTCCTGGCACGTATCTGTCTTGTATCTAATGGGTTGAATTTGGAAGTAATGTGACAGAGGGGTGCCTTTAACATAACTTTGAGGAGCCAAGCCTGTATTTTGTTTTGAGGTGCTGGCTTAAAAATCCATGCGTTGAAATTGTTTTTACTAGCTATTCTTTCATATCAAAAAATGCCTGTAGTCCATGCAGTTGCTGGGGAAAAAAATTACCTCACTGAATAATCTATGTATTGCAAGAGGTACCTACTGAGATGAAAGCCTATAAATATGGAATTTTCCTCCTCTCCTGTCACATGTATGGTCCTTTTATTCATTGTCCCTTTGGGTCTTAATTAATGAAGGGCAGGAGGCAACTGGTTTACCTGTTTAGTGTGCTTGTGAAATCATAAGATACCAACTATGGGCAGCTAATGTAATAAAGTGAAGTTCCCCAATGACTTTGAAAGTGCTCAGTGAAATCTAATTGCTTGCAGATCTATATGAGACTTTAAAAAATGAATGTTAGGAAAACTGTCAGTAAAAATGAGTAAAAACGGCCTTTTTTTTTTTTTTTTAAACTTACAGATATTGATGATGTCAAGAAGCACAAACCAGGTTACCTTGAGGCTACAGTTGACTGGTTCCGATTATATAAAGTTCCTGATGGAAAACCGGAAAATCAGTTTGCTTTTAATGGAGAATTTAAAGACAAGGTGAAGATAATCCAAAATTAAAGATGCATCTTTCTATCATGTGACCTCTTTAATACAACCTAGAATTTTTGAAATTGCAAAGGAGGAGGTTTAACAAAAAGAATTTTTATGCAAGGGATCTTTGAATGTAATTTATTATGCTAGAAATAATGTTTTCTGTCTTCCATTCTATTCAGGGGAAAATGCATTGGTTATAAAAGGAAGTTGCAAAAAAACATCCTAATCCTGACGAGACTTACACACGCATCTGTATGTTTGTAGATTTTTTTTTTTTTTTTCCACAGCATTTTTTTTTTTCCTGTCAGGAATGAACAGATTGTCTTTTCAGGTATTTTTTCAGTTCAGATTGATAAATTTTCCTGACTTTTTTTTGGTTTTTTTTAAGGCTCTGCAGTTTAAGGCAGACAATAGGTTGCAGATTTTTTCATCTTCAGTATTTGCTCAAGGTATACATTTTCTTGGTAATTTTATGTAAAAACATTTGAGGTGGTTTTGGCTTGAAGGCTGAAAAAATATTTTCCCCTTTTGTAGAAAAAATGAATGGCGTTTTAAACTATCTACGGTAAAAATGGCCAGTGTTTGAAAGGAGAGTGGACCTGGGAATAGACCTCGCTGAAGAAAATATCTGGATTTTTCCAGAGGAAATTTGGTGTGATTTGAGTAAAAGTGCTTTGCAAATCGTGTATCACACGCTCTCTGTAGACTATTTTTGGCAAAGAATCACAGGTTCCTAATGAATGATGTCCGTGAGTCAACTAGTTCAGCCTTGCAGTGTGCTATCAAAGTTATAAAATGCCTTCTAACCAGCACAGGCAACTTTACATGTTTTTGTCTGGTTAAAGAGATGCCCTGACTCCCTTCTGCACTAAAACTGTCTTTTAAATCAATCAAACGTGGAGTTGTAAGGCTTGATAACCTGATCTTCCCCCTGTTCTCCCAGGAGCTGCTCTTAGAGATTTTCCTGCTCTATAAAGCAGAGTGTTGCTCTGTAGTGACAGTTTAACGGTATATCCCCGTCAGGCCATTGGACTTCAGGCTTGAGGCACTAAATGCCCCAAGATAGCTGGGTTTGGAGCACTTGAACAATTCTCAAGCATTTCTGGAGACCCAGGATGTGGCGAGGTGGCTGTGGCTGTGCTCCAGCAGCTCTGGTGAAGTTCACAATGTTCCAGTGGCATTTTGCCAAGTCGCTCCTTGTTAGGAAATGTGAATGTTCTGTTGGCAGCTCTTTGCAAGCCAGTCTAGATATCGTCATCCAGACACTGAGGGCTTATTTTACTGTACTTTTTTTAAAGCTTTTTCATCCACACCCCGCCCCCAATATTACTTTTGTTTTAAACAAACAAAAACTGTTAAGCAGCTGACATGTTACGTTGTTGCAAATGCTTAAGTGTATGATTGGGCAATTAATGAAGTAAATGCAAATTTTGCCACTAGAGGGGAAACCTTAACTCTGACCCTGATGTGCACGCGTAACAGAGGAGTCAGCTCATACACTTTGTCCCATTTAGGACCTGGTACAGTTTTTTACAGCTGTAGGTGTCTGCTTAGCATCTAGTGCTGATTTTTTTTTTTTTTTTTTTTTTTTTGGTGCAGCCTTCAGGTTTTCTGGCTGTAGACTGAGGGGAAAGTCCTGAATATGTTACCAGTGTATTTGACAGATAATGAAGTTTGTTTCTTTTCATAAAAAAGCATGTTATATTTTCCAGAAATTTAATGAAGCCTCAGAGGAGGCCCCTTAAAAAAAACCCACATGAAACAGTATGTTTTAATAAACTAGTTCTGTGGCTTTTTTTCTGTTTAATAACATTTTACATCATAAAACTTTTCCTTGATGTAAACTAGGATTTTGCTGTTGAAATTATTAAATCCACCCATGAATACTGGAAAGCTTTGCTTCATAAAAAAGCTGATGGAGGTACTATTAAGTGGTAAGTATCCAGTCACATCTTTTTTTTTTTTTTTTTTGTATTGTGCTAGTACTGGTGGTATTCAACATGTGGCAGCTGTGCATGAACTGCTTAGTTTTTTTACTGATGACAGGAATACTCATGATTTTGATTAATAGTTGATAATAGATTATGACTGACTAATTGCACCTTGTATGACAATGATTTATGGGTAAGTGGTTCAGAAAATATATTGATTATAGAAAAGTGACGTAGATTGCCTCAGCTTTTGAGAAGTGGCCCTAGAGTGTTTGTTCGGGTTCATTTTGGGAGAATCTCAGTATTCCATGCAAATCCTCTTATCGCTGTTTGTTGCATCCTTCCATGCTGCATTGCTGTGATGCAAATTCTTTTGCAGCTTAGCATTCCGTATTTTTTAGTAGTTCTCTGGAATGAGAGAATCAAATTCTCTCAGTAGGCTGGTAAATTCTTTACTAGTCTTTGGCCTGATCTAAATTAAAATTGGCTTTATTAAGCTATCTGGACAGGTTTGCATTGGCAGTTCTGGCACCAGAGGCCCTGAAGAGCAGGGTCACCGGTCTTTGCCTGGTGCTTTCCAAGGGCTGTACATTGCCATTAGCTAAACCAGAGGGTAAAGGCTGGGGGGGGAAGCTGTACTTGGATACTCGCTGTTGTCTTCTGCTTTATTGGAAAAATGTGACTTTCTCTCTCTTTCTTGAAGTTGATTGAACACCTGAGCAATTGGACAGGTTCTCCTTCAGCATGGCAAGAGTACTGTACTATAATATTCAAATTTTGGTCTTGATGATTTCAGAGGCACTTTGAGCTTCATATTGAAGAAATTTAAAAATAATTAAAATTGCAGTCTTGCTTTGAGGAATTGAGCTTCTTGCTGTTTACTGTGTAGGACCTTAAAAACTCATGACCAAACTCACTTCTGGTGTGAAAGGATATGTATTCACAGGGAAACGTTTCTGCAAAGTATTTGGTCCCAGAGTTTGTCTGCTCTCTGGAAGTAGTACAGGTATCTGCTGCTTTGTGTTGGAGCAGAATTTTGACCTGTTTTTTCCTTGTTCTTGTTAGATACTGCAGGCAGGTTGCTGCAAAGCAAAGGTGGCCTGCCAGAGAATCTGGCCAACCTTCACACCATCTGTGGTAGTCACATCTAGGTGGTCTTCAACTCCCTCAGGAAGTGCCAGTTTCTCTCTGCTGACTTTTGGGGGGATTTAGTCTTTTAACTATGGTCCTCTGAACTGTACCCAAGTTAGCTGCCAGAAGCGCTGAGTGTGAGCACTGCTTGCATTAATATAGAACATGTAGCCTAAAAAAAACCCACCCTCAAACACAATGAAACAAAGAACACCAAGAACACCTTTCCACTCCCCCATTCCCTTCCAACAGTACTAGTTACTTTGTGTTTTTGACTTACTCTTTTCTTGCAGATACGCATTTCTGAGCTCTCTATGTGAAGGTGTTTTTTTTTCAATAGGTACTTCATTGTGTGTGTCTCTTTTTCCACTGATTGATAAAACGTGTTTTTAATTTTATTTTTCAGTACAAATGTTCTGGTGAATGGCAGCCCATTTTGTTGCAGTGAGGAGGTTGCCCGATCGATTGTGCAGTCGGTAAGGATAATACTTTTTTTCCACCCTTTTTTAAAAAGTGATTAATAGGAAAAGATTCACAGCTCCAAAGCTGAAATAAAGTAGCTAAACTGAAATGGTCCTTAAACAAAAATTTAAGGCATAAAGTAAAAGGAAGAGCACAAAGGTTGTGGGGGAAACGTAAGCATTATAATATAAACCTTTCATTGCAGTGGTCCAATTGTGCTTTCTGGCAGTTTCATTACTGTTCTGGCAGGGGTTTTTTTTTGTTCTGGTTTCTTTTTTTTTTTTTTCTTTTCCCCCTCCCTCTGCAGTGCTGTTTCTTCTGATCCTGAGTAGCAAGATGGACTGCTATTTGTATCTAGCCTGCTGTCTTCTCTGTCTCCCCTGTTGCCATGAGTTACCACCCAGTGTTAGAACTCATTGACTAGCTGACTGTAGTCCCTAATCACTAAAGGGATCCTTTGTTTGTCTACTTGCATAATTAAATGCATTGCTGTGAGAGAGGGGGATGCTTTTTTGAATGTTTCTTAAAGAATGCCTGTCATATTCTGAAAATTAACATAAAATTAAAACATGTGGGTTTCCTGTTCAGGCGAGAAAAATGTCCTGCAGGTCTGATGCTTTCATGTGCAAATGCTGGTGGAGGAGAGTTTCTTCCATTTTAAAATATGCTAGTTTGGATGCCAGAAATTAAGCAAAGTTACCAGAAATTATATGGAGAGAAGTACCTCCAAGTATTACTTTTTTTTCTTTTTTTTTTTTTTAAACATATGCCGTGATTGAGCCTGTGCTCGTGACCACATGAGTGTAGTAGGTATTATGCACATGTGTATGACTGCCTGGGCAGCCAGTGTTTTGCCCCAGTAGTCAAAGTGGTTACGTAAGTTCAGGTGTCAAAGGAGATGCTGTCCACTGTCTTTGCAGTTAACATTCCAATAGCGTTTGTACTAAGAATGTGTTGTCCTGGGTGATGTTTTGTCACAAACAAGTAAGACTGTTGCAAAGAAAAATCAGTTTAAGTCCTAAAGAAGTGTTTAACCTAACTGGTTTTCCTATTCAGGTCTCTTGCTTTCAGTACTTCTTTGAGAGTACCTTTGTGGTTGCACTTGTGAATGTTGATTAATGGGACTGTAAGTTTTAAATGAAAGAAAAACTTATTTTGGAATTCAACTTATGTTTCTAGGCGTGTCAGTCAGAGCTATAAGCAAATCTTTACCTCCTCTATACTTTCAAATTTACAATAACTTCTAGTGAGTGTTTAAATGCAACTAAAATTTCGAGATAAAACGAATTTGGATGGTGACAAACCTGCAAAGGAATATTTTGTTTCGCATTCTCCACTGTTTGTACTCTTAAGTATGTTGAGTAAATAATTGTCTGTTTCAATCAGCTCTATCTGTTTTTTGTCTCTAAATAACAAATAAAAATTTTTCTTGTTTTTTGAGGGGGAGGTTAGTAAAGCCAGTTCATAAAATAGGCGCCTTGTATAAAACTTTAATGTCTTTTCTTATTATGAGCACTTGCCACCTTATCAAATATTACCATTTTCTGGCTTTTTTTGTCTCACATTATTTTCTTTAAGTGATGCTGTTTTCTGAAGTTGTCATCGCATACTCCTTTCCATCATTCTCTTTCACTTCAGTCTAAGTATTTTAATTGTGTCTTTGTAGGCTACTGTCTTTGGTACTTTTCAGTTAGGGAAAAGATGCAATGCTCTTAAATACTGTTCATACTGCATGCAGTTTCCAGTCTACAATAACTAAAAAAAGTAGAATGCTGTTGAAATATGAATGGTGGACAGTCGAACTCTAAATATAAGCAGGGAGGTTGACTTGCACATTTTAAGCAAGTATCTTTTTGTCTAGTACACTACACTGCCCACTTTGGTTGTCAGGCATTCATCTCTTTCAAACTGAAGTGAAAGTACGTGAGTGTTGGCTGCAGAATTTTAATGGCTGTGGTAATTTTAAATGAAAGCTGCCTGAGTATGTCTTTGTGGGGTTTTTTTGTTTGTGTTTTTTGGTTGTTTTTTTTTTTTTTTTAACTAAAAGCAGACATTTTTTCATCTAATTTATGTCCATCTGTTAACTTCTGGATAAAAACAGAAGAATGAAAGCTGAGGTAGAGATTTTATATGCAAGTACAGCGAGAAACATATTTCAGCTACCGCAAAATTTCTGAACTACTTGTGGAGTGAGAGCTGGTTCCCTACAATTGTTTCCTGGGTCAGACTTCAGTTACTGAGTTTTTGAGTGGGTGCTAATTGCCTTAAATCAGGTATATTGCGTTCTCCAGAAGAAAACAAAACAAAACAAACAACCCCCAAAAAAACAAAAACCAAAACCCAAAAGGTAACACTCAGTATTGTTATGAATCAATTTTTATGGTGAGCAAGAGAACTATAAGAACCAAATGGAGGACACACAAATCCTTACCAAATTTTGCACTAATCAGAATTTTATATAGATTTTGATTGGGTAGTTCCCAATATAGCCCTGTTGATTTCAGAAGGATTTATTGTGCTATTATTGGACCTTTCATTATTTTACAGATGTGGGACTAGAATGGCTTGTCTATATTGGGGAATTTCCACTCTACTGAGTTAGTTTCCAGACGGTGGGCATGTGTACTGTCATCTGTATTGGTGGCAAACTAGGAGTGATTCTACAGCTGGTGAAGTTGCCATGTCCAGTCAATCCCAAACTGATAGAAGATAATCTGTGCATATGGGAACACATACTGAACATTTGAACCAGCCAAAATTACACCAGCCTCCTGCAGCTACAAACTCAGTTGATTTTTAACACTAGGTGGTGAAAACTTCTAAGGTTCTCTTGACTCTGAAAATTGTTTGATCACTTTCTCAGCTCTAGTACTAGTATATGTTGAAAACTAAACCCAGGAGGAATACAGCTTTGTAGCTGAATGTGTTCATGCTAAGATGTACTGTTTATTTCAGGCTTTTAAGCGTTGCCATCTGTAAAACTGACCAGGACAGCCAAACCTTTGTTTAACATTAATCCTGAGAACTTCTTGCTCACTTGCTCTGTGAAGAAGCTGCTGAGGACTTTGCAAGTTGGAAAATCTCCAAGACAATCTATATTTAGTTAGTAGAGCAGTGTTTCTCAGACTTATCACATAATTCTTCCCTTATAGTACTGGAAAGTGAGCTAGGAAAGCTTTGCTAGGTGCGATCTCTTTTGATAAAATGCAGAACGATGTCTTACAGGGGAAAATATTTGTCTTTTCCTGATAATTTAAAAAATCTCCAACAAAATTTGAATCTGTATACTTACTAATGTGTTTCAAATAATTCAGATCTAAGCATGGAAGTCTGTTAACTGCCTTTATCCCTGTTTTCTGTGAGGACATTTCCATTTGGAACTTAGTAGAAGCAGAATTTTCTGTTCTGTGGCCGGTTGTGAAACAAAAGATTGGTTTTTGCTCTGGGGTTTTTTTTTGTTTTGGTGTTGGGTTTTTTTTTGTTGTTGTTTGTTTTTTTGGGGTGGGTTGTTTTTTTATTTGTTGGGGTTTTTTATTATTTATTTATTTCATTTTTTAAACAGTGTTCCAAATGAAAGACTGTGTAGTGAAGAGATTCCTGGTTCAGTGGGATGAGTTTTTGATCTGTTCCTGGTAGGAAGGTACTGAGTCCTTATCTCAGACTTTCTGAGCAATTATCCCAGAAGTGGCAGACATCTGCTTATACATGGTAACCATTGGTTCTCCCTGCCTTATGAAATAAAGCTTTGGTTTTACTACAAAGAGGGAGGGTGGTCTCATGTTAAGGCCAGGAAGACACTTTCCATAGAGTGTGAGAGCTCTCAATCCCCACAGGTAAGAAATCAGGAAAGCACAGCAAGAGGCTGTCATGGATGAGTCAAGACTTGCTGGTCAAACTAAAGGGCAAGAAGGAAATGCGCAGGCAGTGGAAATAGGGACAGGTATCCTGGGAAGAGTATATGGATGGAGTCAGGAAGGCCAAGGTGTGGCTGGAGCTGAACCTGGCAAGGGACGCAAAGAATAATAATAAGGGCTTCTATAGGTATGTCAGCCAGAAAAGGAAGGTAAAAGAAAGTGTACCCCCCCAATGAACACAACTGGCAAACTGGTAACAACAGACAAGGAGAAGGTTGATGTACTCAACTTTTTTGCCCCAGTCTTCACTGGCAGCCTCTCTTCCCACATCTCTTGAGTGGATGGACAGCAAGGCAGGGAATGGGGGAGCAAAGTCCCTCCCACTGTAAAAGATCAGGTTCGTGACCACCTGAGGAACTTGGACACACAGAAGTCTGTGGCATCTGATGAGATGCATCCCAGAGACCTGAGGGAATTGGCTGATGTAATTGCTAAGCCACTCTCCATGCTATTTGAAAAGTCATGGTGGTCAGGTGAAGTCCCTGGTGACTGGGAGAAGGAAAACATTGCACCCATTTTTCAAAAGGGTAGAAAGGAGGACCAGGGGAACTTTCGACCAGTCAGCCTCACCTCTGTGCCTGGGAAGTTCATGGAACAGATCCTCCTAGAAGCTATGCTAGGGCACATGGAGGACAGGGAGGTGATTTGAGGCAGCCAGCATGGCTTCATCAAGGGCAAGTCCTACCTGACTAATCTAGTGGCCTTCTATGATGGAGCAACTACATCAGTGGGCAAGGGAAGAGCTATGGATGTCATTTATCTGGACTTCTGCAAGGCCTTTGACGCCGTCCCCCACAACATCCTTTTCTCTAAATAGGAGAGATATGGATTTGATGTGTAGACTGTTTGGTGGATGAGGAATTGATTGGATGGTCACATCCAGAGGGTAGTGATCAACGGCTCAATGTCCAGATGGAGATCAGTGACAAGTGGTGTCCCTCAGGGGTCCGTATTGGGACCAGTACTGTTTAATGTCTTCATCAGTGACATAGACAGTGTAGTCGAGTGCATCCTCAGTGGGTTTGCGGAGGACACCAAACTGAGTGGTGTGGTTGACGTACCCAAGGGACAGGATGCCATCCAGAGGGACCTGGACAGGCTCGAGAAGTGAGCCTGTGTGAACCTCATGAGGTTCAGCAAGGCCAAGTGCAGGGTCCTGCATGTGGGTCGGGGCAACCTCCAGCATCAGTATAGGCTGGGGGATGAGGAGATTGAGAGCAGCTCTGCTGAGAAGGACTTGGGGCTACTGGTGGATGAAAAGTTGGACATGAGCTGGCAATGTGCGCTCACAGACCGGAAAGCCAACCATATCCTGGGCTGCATCAAAAGAAGCATGGCCAGCAGGTCCAGGGAGGAGATTCCCTCTGCTTTGGTGAGACCCAACCTGGATTACCGTGTCCAGCTCTGGTGCCCTTAGCACAGGAAAGACATGGACCTATTGGAATGGCTCCAGAGGAGGGCCACACAAATGATCAGAGGGCTGGAGCATCTCTCCTGTGAGGACAGACTGAGAGTTGGGGTTGTTCAGCCTGGAGAAGAGAAAGCTCTGGGGAGATCTTATTGCAGCCTTTCAGTACTTAAAGGGGGCCTATAAGAAAGATAGGGAAAAGCTTCTTAGGGCCTGTAGAGGTAGGACAAGGGGTAATGGCCTCAAACTGAAAGAGGGTAGATTCAGACTAGATCTAAGGAAGAAGTTTTTTACAATGAGGGTGGTGAAACACTGGCACAGGTTGCCCAGAGAGGTGGTAGATGCCCCATCTGTGGAAATGTTCCAGGTCAGGTTGGACGGGGCTCTGAGCACCCTGATCTAGTTGAAGATGTCCATGCTCATTGCAGGTCCCTTCCAACCCAAACTATTCTATGATTCTAAGACCCGGATTATGTTTGTCACATCCTTTCAGACCAGTCACAGAAATGCCATGTGCGGGTAATTATGCTGGGTAAAGTGGGGAGAAGAATACTCTTTTTCCCATGCCTCCTCACAGGCTTTAACCCACTCTTCTGTGGATGGAGCTCTGTGCCTGCTTGGAGACAGGCAGGCTTGCGAGGGAATTTCACACCAACGTAGCTCTGCTCTTGAGTACTGCACTGTGCTAAGCCCAGCTTTGTGGCTTCTGGGTTAATTTGCCTGCCTGCAGGGTACTGCAAAGTTTTCATTAATGTCTTCACGTGCTGTTAAATAGTGGCAAGAAGTTCCACTTGTTGGCGTGGAAGACATGGGTGGTCACTGTGCGGCTTTGTTCTCCTGAAGCTTCAAATAGCTGTAAGCCCTACCTTTGAGGTTGTTTCTTTTTTGCATGGTTCATCTAAGTGATTACTCCTGGGGTTATCTGCTTCGTAAGCGTAGTTAGGGTGGGCTTGTGTCTTGGCAAAGGCCAACATCCACACATTTGTTGCGGTTGATTTGTGTGTGTGAGTGAGTGTGGTAGGATTCCTAGAAGCAGAGATGCTCTCTGTTGCTTTCCCATCAGTTACGTCAGCTGAAAACTTGTCTGTGAGGAGCTGAGAGAAGAGCAGTGGAGAATTGCTGCTATGCAAGTAACTATCATCCTTGTTGTGAGGCAGGTTGCTTCCAGTTGGTGTTAAAAATGGCTTTAATTTTGTCCTTTAAGTAATAGGACAAGACATGCTTTGTAATACTCCGATTGAATAGTGGTGAATCCAGCTTTGAAATGGACCTGGACTTACAGACCTACATCTTTGAAACGATTTGTCACTTTCCGGAGAACTGCATTCTACTCTGTCAAAACGTGGCTGTAAAAGAGTTTAATTACACATCTTTTTAATATGTTTTTTTTATGTTTGCACATATGTAATGTAAATTGTGTGTGTTTTTATATTCATTCATATGTGTACCTTTATACTGAAACATGTATAATAATGTAATTGAAAAGGCATTTTTACTCTTAAGTATGTAAACAGCAAATCCTGTTACCCTCAAAGACAATACAGTAGGAAAATCCCCTTTACATTAGTTAAGATGTTAATCTATCACTCATTATTAGTGTGTTTGTTTTGTCATTTATGAGCAACCAAGACATTGGTACAGTAGTTATGGGGGAGGCAGAAGGGGAAAAAAAAAAAGGGGGGGGGGGAAGTCTGTAAGGTAAAGCATTGTCCTGTGGGGGCAACAGAAAGTTCTGGTTTTATTAATCTCTCTTGACTTCAGCAGTAAAATAGGTTTGAGTTTGGGTGCTACCTGTGAAACTGTACCTAAACACTGATAGTTGGTTTGATATGTTTTTTTTGTTTGGTTGATTTTTCTTTTCAGGCACCAGTGCCTGTGAATGGAGATCCAGTTTCCCCAGAAGGTACGTTTTTCCCCAAATGCCTTGTGATTTCCTTAATCGCTTGCTTTAAAAATTGACATTAAAACTGTAGTGTTGAAAAAAGGTGGCTTTGTGCGCATGAGAATGATAATAGTTATAGTCTGTCAGACTGTACTGCCTGTACCCTTTAAATAGAACATATGCAGAAATTAATGCATGGTTTGTGGGAGAAGATTATTTTTGACTATGAGTGAAAAGTGTAGTCCATGGAAAAAGATGAGAACACTAAACTTTTCTGTCACTGGTCATGGAAGGCAAATGCATGACATTTATCCTTTTCAAAGAAGAAAGGTTTCTTTGCCTTAGTTTTTGTCATTCTTCACAGTAGCTAACTAATCAAATAAACAGCCCCTTTTCTTAAAAGTGACATAAACATACTTAATTTTCAACTGTAAGTTCTGAAGACAAAATTCTCTCTTTCACTGTTATGGCTGTTTTTCATGTTAACAGAACATGTGTTTTTCATCAAGAAATAAGAATGCATTCTACATTTTCGTTTTTGTTAACTACTTTAAAAAAAGATATTTTTTTACTGGCAGGAACTATAGAGAAGACATACGTGCTTTTTGAGATGCAGGGAGTTACAGAAACACTAAGAGAAACTTAGTCATGAGTCAAGTTCCAGATTGTTTGCGAAGTAACATCTGTGTAGTCAGTGTCATGGGAAAGCATGTTGCATTCCATTTGCCCTTATATGGCATGCCAATAAATAGCATTTATTTACTGAACTATTGCATCTCAGACCTCTGACAGACAACTGAACATAATCTGCCTGATCTTTGATGTTTTCCAGGGATGGTCACGTCAGTCTTGTAACTTGTTGCGGAATTGTTTCAGCCAAACTGTTAAAGTGAACAGATACTATTTTAAGGCAGTGCTTTAGGTAGGCTGGGGATAGAGCTTACCCAGCATTAGTATGGGAGGGGAGATAGCTGAAAGGGCAGAATGTTACTTTTCCAAGTGTTTGTGTCTGGCTAGTTGTATGGAACTAATGTCATTCTTGATATCTATTTTTTTTTGTTTTAGTTGATTCCTGGCACTTTTTCCCCAAGTGATCGTCAAAGTGTTCTGAAGCTGCATCATCAAATCTTAAAGTCATCTGTTTTTTGAAGACAGGCAAAAGCACTAATTGTTGGGTTCCTGTTGAAACAACTTTTCAACTTGTGTAAACCTTCTCTCGTGTAAATAAACTCTGACATTATGAAATGAATGTTTCCTTTCTGTGTCTGTCTTAGTGCAGGGTGGAGCAAAGAGGAGAGGACTGGCTTGCTTCTTTGTTTCTGAATGTCAGAACTCCAGAATTGCTCTTATCCACTCATGAAGTGTAGTATCAAATGAGATAAGGTGTCTTCAACCTTCTTCCCCAGATTTTGAAGTAATCCAGCCATGAGGTGCATAGAAGACTGTGTTAATTTCTATTTTAGGGCTTGTTTGGCTGCCCTGACTGTAATCCTTTTCAAGTAGACAATAATCTTTATGTAATAGGCTTAGCAGTTTACCATGTTCTTTAATATGCGACTGTGTGCTTTTCCTGAGTTGTATTCACTTTTGTGCCCAGCTATCTTTGCATGCTTCAGAGAGTTATGAGCAGAGCTACTTGCTTTAAAAAAACAAATGCAACTTCATTCCAAAGAGTAATTTTACTAGGAAGGGCTAATTCCATAACAATTGAAGTAAGGATGCATGTGTGCTCTTTGTACTACATCCTGTTTTGATAACTTGTGTGTTTCATCACACAGGAAGGACTTTCCTTATGGAAAGCTTCCGTTTTTAGAATTGTCTATGCCTGAAGACTTTTGATAGTTCCTTATTCAGTGAGACAAGATTAATAAAATGTGTAGAACTGAACTTTGTGCTTTTACGGTAAAAATATCTGCCACTTTTTCTATTGCAGGATTATATCTGACCTGTCTGTACCCACAGTGTTCAGTAAAAACAAAAAAAGCCAGATGTTAAGTAGAGAGGAAATGATAGCTTTATCCAGCTTGTTACTGAGATAAAAGGTGAGCATTGTCTGCTTTGTATGATGACTTAAACAAAAGGTTAATATTGCTGACACATGATGGAAATGGAAGATGAAGAGCTGAAAAAGTTAGGCTGTGACTTGCCATAGACGACTAACTTTTCCTTAGAAAGGATAAGTTATTGGTAAGAAAGCGTTTGCCTTTGGGAGTGTTTTTCTGACTTTAGGAGATGATTTACTGGTTTAGAGTCTCTTTTCTGTAGAATATTGTCCAGTGTATAAGCACCAGTCACTTGGGAAATCTCAGTTTGGGCCTCAGAACTTATGAGTAGATGGAGTTCTCCCATCTACATACAGTTTTGTATTTTATACACATAGTTTAGGTGTGGTATTAAAAATGCAGCATAAACCTCAGATATTAAGGACCACTATTTATTTATTTTTTTTAAGTCAAGAGATACATTACATCCAGCATACATCTACAGTACTGATTTTCCATACTTTATTTTACACTTTAGAATTCTAAGTACATGTAACATTATACCTACAGATATAATAGCCTTTTTTTTTTTTTTTTAAATGGAGTAAATGTTTCCCTGGTGTCTTGGGTTCATGTGCAGCTTCTCAGTATGACATTACTCTGGTTCGAGATGAGCTCTTGTAGAGTGCAGAACAGCCACTGTATTTGCCTGTGGGGTGGTACATGTAGGAGGTTTACTGTTTTGTAAAGTGTTTAGGGACAGTTGGACAATGAAGGGCACTGTGCAAATTATCTTCCCTATACAGTGGTCAGTGCTGTCCTTTTTTTGATTCTTTTTTTTTTTTGAGACATAGAATGACAAGTTGTGCACATATGAAAAACAAGTATTGATTACAAATATACCCTTGCTGAACTATCAAGAGCAGGTCAGAAGTTACTTCATTTTTGCTTCAAATAAACTTAGTATTTATTTTTTTTAATTTTTAACTGTATTAATGGCATGTGGTTAGGAATTAAGCAGGAGAAATAAATTTCTAGATCAGATTAGATTTTCCCAAGTACAAATAGTACTTGGGAAAGCTGAAAAATTGAAGTGATCAGAAATGCCCAATACTGTCATAAATTTGAAAATATTGTAATATTTCTTACAGGTAGAGTATATAAACAGATGACCCTGTTGTCTTCAGATTACTTTCAACATGTGTTTATGTACATTTTCTAAAGGTTTTTCCCAAGTGGGATAAAAAGATGTGCCATTACATGTAGCCTTGCTGCTAAAATGTACTGAATGCTACTGACGTTGATTTCAGAAATGAAGTGTAATGAAATAGGTGTGGAGAGAATGTCTGCTAATAAGAGGATTGGGGGGATAGAACAGAGAAACCAGAATATATTTTTCAGATCTCATCAGGAAAAACAAGTCTGTGCAATAAACACATTTTTTAAAATTTTATTTTGGCTTTTTTCATAGGCAAGGTCTTCTGTTTGTCTGTATTTATATGCCTATATTGTTGTATTTCAAATTGGTTTCATTGTAGTGGGAAGCTTAGTGTAGCAGTGTCCAATTCTCGATAGTTTTATGAAAAGAACTTTTTCATATCTGATACTAATACTTCCTGGAAAGATGTCTTGAAGAGACATAAATATCTTTTTTTTTTTTTCTCCCCGGGAAATAAATCCATCCTAACTGTATTTTCTGTGTTGAATATATAATACACATATACATATGTTTCTTTCAAGGATAACTTTGCATCTTGGTTTCATCTTTTTGTCTGTTGTGGAGAGAAAGGAGAGGCTACTCTTTTTTTCCCCTCACTATGTGGTGGTGAAGGTTCTTTTTACATATGGAAACCATTAACTGCTGCTCAAAATAGTACCTTTGACTGACATGAAGTCTACACTTCATTCCCTCCAGTCAAAAGTGGGGTTAGAATTTTACTTATGTGGAAATAATGTTCATTATTCTTTAAAGTGTGAAAATAAAAGGATTGTGAAAATAGTATGGTATTATCACTGTTAGGATGTTATTTTCATGCTGTTAGTAACAACGGACATCCTCTGAAAACCCCGAAAGAATAGAAAGTAATTCTGAAGTGTGTTTGGGAGAATGGTTCATAGATGTTATGCAAGGAGAGTGCTTTACCATAACTTGCCTGTGGTTGCCACTTGTATTAACACGAGGGCTATGGCATGAAGCAGTCCTAAACTGATTGAAGTATTATTTCATGCGTCTCTGCTTTTGCTGGGATTGAGTGTTTTTAATGGATTGTAGTTCCATTTTAGTCCAGTTAAAAGGCAAAACCAATATTAAGTCAGTAGGGTGCAAATTTTTTTTTTCTGCCCTTGCTGTAAAGCTGAAGGTGATTTCTTACCAGGTTTGATAACCTGGGTTCCACCCCCTGAGGACAAGAGATCTGGGATGTAGAGAACAAGGAGGTGAAAAGTTAGCTGGAAGAGAACAGAAAGAATGGAAGACAGACCTGGGAGGTTCAGGCAAATAAAAGTAATGAACAGAACATTAAATAGGAGTGACTGAAATGCTTTAAAACAACTTTGCCTAAATATTGGAGCAATACATAACAATGCTGATTTCATGTGACTGGAGAGGTCAATAGGATGCATTTGCCAAGGAAGAAGATTATGTACCACACAGAAGCTAGAATTACGTACCTGGAAGGTAGTACTTTAATCTTTGGTCTCCGGACTGGGGAAAAACAATGGAAAGCAACAATTGTATTTATTGTTGAGTTGACTTTCTGGAAGTCTTTTGGCTTGTGGAGAGCTGACCTGGGTGTTCAGCAACGTTGGCTGACTGATCCACACGCAGTCTTTGGTTTCTCACCGCTTACTGCTCTGTGCAGGGGGATGCTGGATGTATGCAGTGCTCTCTTCCTGAATCTGCAGATGGGGTCTAGAGGGTAGACCAAAAAAAGCCAAGCTCACTGCAGTAGATTGTCACTTTGTGATTATTTGTTGGCTTTGGTTAATTAATTCATTGCCAATTCTAGTGGCAGAAACTTTTGAAGTGTTGTGGAGGTATGGGCAGAATTCAGATACTGCTGCATGTTTTCTCTTGCTCTTAATCTGGTAAGTTACAACTGAATCAATCATATCAGTGATTCAGTATGCTAAGTCAGAAGTAGTATTTTTGGTTGATTTTTTGGTCTACTGTAAGAGTCAAAAAAGATTTTCCCTTTTCAAGGGAAAATGCAGAAGCCACAAAGGATTGCGCTATCCTGTGCATGAAGACTATGTCTTATGTGTCAGAACACTGCTGCCAATTAGCTTTTTTCCATTAGAACATTCTCATAAAGTTTCTAGATTCTTCACAGATATCACAAAGTTTGACACTAACTTTTTTGTTTGTTACCTTTGGAAGAATAATACTTGCATTACCTAGATATTACAGCACATATGCAAATTTATGTGTTCAGTTGCACTCCTTGTGGTTTGCTTCTGTATATGCATTAATGCTTGCCTGGAAATTAAGGGTGGGGGAGGGGGGCGGCAGTTCAGATCTAAAGATCTAGGTTTGTGTGCCTTGTTCAGTGCTGGTCCTGTCAGCTTCTCTTTCAGGATGAAGTGAGTAAGTGCAGTCACTGAAACGGCTGCACTTTGTAGCTGTTATTAGCTTTATGTTCATTTATTGATGTGTATATAAGGAAAGGGATATTGGAATGTTATGAGACTGGTTTGTCTACTCCGTGTATCTGATTGCTGTTTGCTGCTATTATACCATCTACAGGTTTGGGATTTTTCTTAGGCATTTTGTATTTCACATTTTAAATACGATGAAGAGTAAACATCTACCTGGTGCCAAACCCCCTAGGTTGGAATACAAAGAATTAAATTTAAATTCTGCTTTTCCATAGCATACCTTGTGGGCTTGGGCAGACCACGTAATCTTTTTGCTACCTGTAAAATGGGTAGAAAAGTTTCTTCTGTGAGTGATCTGATTTTTACCAGAGACCTGGCGCTTCCCCAACATTGAGAGGGGAACTCCTTCCGTTGTCTAGGAAAGCATAGGGTACGCTCAGCTTTGTTTACAGTGAGAAGGTTAGCTATACCGACCAGCTTTCTGAAGGACTTGACTGAAGATGCAGGCTTTGTTAGTCAGGCTGATCTGCCCAAGGGTTGTCTGATGGTGTAATTATCTTAAGAGTGAAAAGAGCATCAATGGTGGTGAAAGTTCAAGGGGTAAATTGGCATCTTCGCCCTTGTGAGTTCTGCAGGAGACCAGACTCAATTCTTAAGCAGGTCTTTAAGT